ATAAACCCGGATTGTTCAGTCTGTAGACCGTGCAACTCAGAACAGGGAGGTTCCGAATTCGAGCCCCTTTCGAGGCTGATAAAAGAGTAAATGAGTGCCATTCTGTGTGAAAGAAATACGAGACTTCACACTCTGCCTACCACACAGCTGCTGTCGTCTTTGCTTTTAACCTAAAGCAGTCATGAATTATGGCATAAAAATGGAGATCAACACCGCATCATCAACTTCATGAAAAGAAGGACGCCAGAAATTGCCCAATCTTTAAAGTCTGAGGAGGACAGATATTCCGGTTATAACATGAACCCTAAAACAGTCGATAAGAAAGCAAATCCTAACTGAGATTTACAGTGCCTCTTCTACTTTTTAGAACAGTTTGTGATAAAGGTACCTTACGGAAGTACGCAGATCCAGTTTATCGTTTAACCATTGTATGCTTGAAAATGTAACAGACAACTATAACTGATAAACTGATACCTTCAAAATTCACAGAGAGTTAACTCAATACGGCGGAAAATACAATACCTCTTACAGAAGCTGAGACATGCTGCGTTGCTATTGATGGGCGATGGCGTACAGAAGCTTTAACAGCGACAGTGAATACATTTTCAAATGGGGAAAACATGAAAAAGATCAGTTTAAAAAGTAGGCTGCCCTTTAATGCATAATCGGTTCAAATCGATTTGGCCAGGTCGGAGTTCTGAGGTAGTCAAAGAAGGAGAGGACTAATCGCAAATGGCCTATCGTTTGAAGTTCAAAATCGAGATGGGACTCTCTTATGCTGATAGCAATTAAGTTGCTCAGACTGTTGAACTTGACGGGATTCATTAATAATTTTCATAAAGTTATGTAAAGGGATTAACGCAAAAGCATTTGAACATACAATCTACCTCACGTCGGAATCAATATCAAATTCACTCCCACTCTCCGTTATCCATCAAAGAATGTGCGTATGTACGAAATATAAGATCATACAGTGACATGTCCAACATGAGAGCCACAACTAAGTGCATGAACTGGAACAAAGCCAGTATTTGCAAACGTCAATTCACTAACATAGCATCACGTTCGACTGAAAGTTGAACAAGAAACAACAATCCCCAGAGATGACCTCAGAAACAGTCATACGTTCCAAAGAATTGAAATGAATGAACCAACCGATTCAGGGTCACATACGAGTATAATCGGTGTGCAAATTCCCAAACATGCAAGCACGTTCCTATATAGAAAAAAAGCTATACCAAAAAAAGATACGTAAGGATCGTTTGTCACATAAACAGCACCCGTAGAAATGGCTCCACTGGAGAAACCGGTAGAATACCGAAAATGGGATAAAGAAATAGGTTTTCTCAGCAGAGCGAGGAATAATAAGAAAACAGTCATACAGTGCAATGCAGTCAGAAATGTCCGTACAGAACGAATGGCAGGAAGAATAAGATTTTGAAGACTGCCCTCGAAGAAGGAACAAAAAGCGAGATGAACTCGGATAGAGAAAAATAATACAATAAATTCAGCAATGGTCGTGGCCATAACAATTGTCAATAAACGTGCAAATAAGCCTCTGAGCTTTTATGCCATCTCAAAGCCTTTAATCCCACCACGCTTACAATGTTGTCTTAACGTCAACACCGTCGAAGTCAATTTCAGTGGAAGCCACGACCTCGTTACCAATTAAACCGTCGTTCTCCAAACAGAAAGAGCAACAAAACCCGAGCATGACCTACCCCGTAGATAGTTTGACACGATAATATACAAGTTAGTTGAGGATCTTGCTCCAGATTCGACTCAAAGGTACAAGAGAACGCCCTAACTTCGAACTAAACTGTTTGCACAATAAAATCTGTTCTTAGAATAGCTATGCGTTATGCGACATGTTGTGACGTAATGACATACTTTGATGATTAAGCCGTATCACATAAAAAGAGTACCAGCTTCTGAAATATCGTTCGCAATAAGCACAGCGTGCCTTTAGTGATCAAACTGATGCGAGATATGCATCTGGTACTGCAGGTGCTGAAATTCCATTTAGCCGTGCAATAAACCACTTTGTAGGTAACTAGAAGCAGGGACTGGTAAAATACTTCTTGAAATCTAGTACTGGAGTAGTTACGTATTATCTAATGCAAAAAAAGGAAAATAACGAAGTATAATTAATGTTTATAAACTTCAATTTAGCGGCATTGTCTAAATCGCTTGGAAATTTTCTTTTGAAGAAATCTACTTTTGAAAAGTACTGTAGTATAAAATACAGTATAAAGTACAATAGTATAAAATATAGTATAAAATATGAATCGACTGAAAACATTCGAAGTTTGGAATCTAACAGCGGTATCATCCTCTGGTGTGCTTGTGTATCTGTGGCGCGGTGGCAAAGAGTCTAAGAGGCCTGCTTCA